TGGGCACCACTGGAAAGAGTCTGGCCCCATCCTCTTGACACCCACCCTTTAGATATTTATAGACATTGATAAGGTCCCCTCTCAGTCTGCTCTTCTCCAGGCTGAACAGACCCAGCTCTCTCAGTCATTCCTCAGAAGAAAGATGCTCCAGCCCCTTCATTATCTTTGTAGCCCCATTCCCTGTTCCCCTGCGCTGCTGAGGACGTAGAAAATAGTGAGAAAAGTTAAGCTCAGGAGGAAGGGAAGGGTGGGGGAAGGTGTTTTAAGATTTGATTTTATTTCTCATTATCCTCCTCTGATTTTGATTGGTAATAAACTAAATTAATTTTCCCCAAGTCAAGTCTGTTTTGCCCGTGATGGTAAGTGGTGAGCAATCTCTCTCCATCCTTATCTCGACCCACAAACCTTTTATTTTCTCTCTCCTGCCCAGCTGAGGAGCGGGAGTGACAGAGCGGCTTCGGTGGGCATCTGGTATCCAGCCAGGGTCAATCCACCACAAGAAAGAATAACCTCCCTGTTCTTGAGTGAGGAGACACACATCTCCTGAGTTCTGCTGGTGCTCTGCTCACAGACAGGGACCATTGCACATGGCACTTGCTCCCAGAGCCCGTGACCAGCTCTTGTTAGCAACAGCTTCCTCCTGGCTGTGAGCAGGAAAGGAATCTCTAAATCTGGCAGAGCTTCTGCAACCATCGGCAAGGAAAATCATGTGCAATCCTGCATGTTTCCATCTGGTTTCTTTTCTGACAGCAACAGCACCAGGAGCAAGATATTTTTATCGCTGTCTGGATCTCCTGCCTGGCAAGCAATGAATGCCGCATAATGACAGGTTTTATCAAGAAAGCTTCTTTGCCTAAAGAGGGATGAGCATGGAGCAGAGGATCAGCATGAGGCCTGAGGCCTCCCGGTTACAGCCCCACGGGGTCCCTGTATGGTCCCCTAACAAAGTCACTGTGTGGGGTAGGGTGTGGGGGTGGGAGGGAGGGTGACGGGGTCGTTTTTGGTAATGAGGGAAGGGGCCACCTCGTGACAAGCTCTGTGAAAGCTCCCCTGGCTCCAAGCCGTACCCCCGGCCAGCCCAGGCTGAGACAATCAGCACTAGAGAAATGCCTCTGCGAATCCGTA